TCCATGTATTGTCATACGACTCTCGAACAACTGATCTACTGGTATTCCCAATTTTTGCAATGTGTATAGAGGAAGGACATTGACTGCAGCTCCTCCGTCTAAGAATATCCGGTTAATCCTTTGTTCATGGATATAACCCACGACCAGTAATGGACGATTATGGGGTTTGGATCCTAACACCAAATCTTCATCAGTGAAAGTTATCGTGGCACATTCTTCACTCGATTTGTCTCTGATCGCCTTGCCACCTTTCTCGGTAGTGAGACAATATGATTCTTTGTCTTTTATGTCAACTTCGAGAGACCCGAACATGATTGAAGTGACATTAACAGAAGCAGAATCGTCTTCAAGGGTGATCTTTCCTTCATGAGCCAACTCCATGACTTTGTCTTTAAAGATGAAACAGTTATGGATGGGATGTCCTACGACACGATGGTATTTGCAATATCTTGGGTCATCAACCTTTCCAGCTTCCTCCGGTCTTTTTGAATTCGGAAGTTCAATGAGGTTTTCTCTGAGTAGATCGTCAAAGATTCCCGAGACGTCAGAATCCAGGAAAGGATAAGTTTTGGATTGCAACTCTTTAAGGGTTGGCCTTGGCGGTCTTTCTGTCTGAGTTGATTGTCTTTTCCTCGCAACTTCCTTTTCTTTACTTTGGATCTTCATAGGTGCTTTGGTCGTCGCTTTTATGGCCAAGGCTTCTTTTCCAAAAGACTTGATAGGGGCGTTGTTCCCCTTCTTTGCGGCATCATATCTTTCGTATCTTTTTGTTTTTGAAGATTCTTGAACTGGTGGTCCGTGCATCCCGCTTGAAGCCATACTTAACTCCATGTCATGAGCGCGGGTAGCAAGTTCTTCGAAAGTGTGGGGTCGGATCCCTTGCAGGATGTATTTCAACCCCCAGTGCATTCCTTGGACGCACATCTCTATACCGGAGGCCTCAGACAACCGGTCTTTGCAGTTCAAGCTCAAACTCCTCCAGCGGTTGATGTAGTCGATTGCTGGTTCATCTTTCCATTGACGAGTATTGGTGAGTTCTGTCATACTGACGGTCCTTTTTGTGCTGTAGAACCGGTTCAAGAACTCGTACTCCAACTGCTCCCAACTGTCGATGGAACCAGCCTCCAGGTCGATATACCAGTCGAAGGCGTTGCCTTTTAATGACCGTACGAACTGCTTTACCAAGAGATCGCTGTATGTCCCAGCGTTGTTGCATGTTTCCATGAAGTGTGCCACATGCTGCTTTGGGTTGCCTTTGCCATCAAATTGTTGGAACTTTGGTGGTTGATATCCCAACGGCATCTTGAGGGCGTCGATCCTTGAAGTGTAAGGCTTGGCATACATATTTGTTGGCCTTGAACTTCCTTCAAACTCCCTTTTGAGAGCTCCTTTGATATACTCGTCAAGTTGGGATAGATGGATGAAAGAGTCAGATGATGTTTGAAACGGCATTGGTCCCGCCATTTTTTCTTTACCGTGGCGTTGATCCATGGATGTTTCTGCTTCATTTTGGGCCTCCGAAGCATTCTGGTTGGTTGGTTCCGGCTTGTCCAATTTTGCAAGCAGTTTTGCGATGATATTGTCTTGTTGCTGCATGTGTTGAGACATCCCTTCAACAACTTTGGCCAGTGCAACAAGTTGGTCTTCTATGTTTGAAGCGTTCGTGGTCATCACCGGGGCATAACTCGATGCGGTCGAACGAGTTGCAACTTCTTGAGGGGTGCCCGGTGCGGAGGTACTCTTGAAGCTTTCGCCCTCCTCATAGAGTGAGTTTTGCTCTGTGATTTTCGGATGTGCATCCTCGGAAAATGACAGTACTCTTTTAGCCATACTTCGTGTCATCACTCCAGCATTCATTGAAGCACTTGAGGTTCTTGATGTAGTAGCAGCGACTCCTTTGGCGGTGGCGGCTAGAGCAGCAGCTTTCGACACAGCATTGGAAGTCTTGATTTTGTAGGAAGCCATTGATTGTTTGAGAATTCGACGGAAAGAGAGATGAAAGGTAGAGATGTCCCACTGGGCGTGCCAAAAATCTGTAGACAAAAAAATTGTGTTATATTTTTATAAACACAAAATTTGTACAAATTATATTTGTATTTAAATTTAATGCGGGTCCTATTCTCTATTCGGATCCTTTGATTCTCTCTCCGGGTCGATCCATTTTTCCAATTTGGATTTGGGTGGCTTCTTTGATCCGAAGGGATTTTGGTCTTCGGTTTGACTTCGCCGGCTTTTGAAGGACTTTGGTATCCATGTTGGCGATTTTGATCGTCGGCTTCGGATTGATGCCTCCTTTGGATGATCCGACGGAATTTGATCTTTGAGGGAGAGATTTAGTGCTCCATAACGCTTTTGGCGGCGTGTCCCTTTGACTTTTGGATCGAAGAGGGCCTGGTTTGCGCCTTTTATGAAGAACGCGACGAACATCTTCAAGCTTTGGGAGCGACTTTGGAGGCTCTTCCTTGGATTTGATGGATTCCTCGATAGCTTTGAGAGATTTGATCCTTCCTCCGGCTCGGACATACGACGAAGAACGTTAACTTCATCGATTCGTCAACCAATATTGGATCATTTGTCCAAATCGGTGACTTTTCGACGAAGAACGCTTCGAAGGACACGAAGAACAATGAAGAACATTGCAGAGAGTCTAGAGAGACTTACCCTTGCGTGAGTCTTCAAATGAACTTCGGTGTCTAAATGAATTGGCCAAGGCTCCTATTTATAGGGGAGGGTGGCATTGGCTTCCTTTTCGGATGGTGCTACGTGGATGGAAAGATTTTATAATCTTTCCTTTTCCCTCGGATGCCGTTTTCCATTTTTGACAGATTTGATTATGCACCTTCCTTTCTCGTCAAAATCTTTATATCATTGCCCTTTTTGGAAGATATTAATTTATATACTTCCTTTATTGACAAGATTAATTTACTTTGCTGCCAAATTTATTATGGCTCTATTTATGCACGTAATATTTGTACGATATCTTCCATTTTAAGCAGATTTTGCATTAATGGTTGATATTTATTGTACAAAAATTAACATATGTGCATAATTAAATACCATATATTTATTTTATTGGAATTTTATTTTCTTCCAAAATACATGATATTTAATTGATTTTAGACATATATTTTTAGTGTCTACACGTACAAAAATAAATAAATAAAATAACATTCAAACTTGCCCATACAAAAGAAAATATCAATTTTTGTGGACCAAACATGCCATTTTGTGTGCTTTTTTTCTCCATCTTCAAACCTGTCATCAGCTGCACCACCTTTTTTTTGACAAATTATTTTTCCGGCACACCATAAATATTTTTCCTGAAAGAAAAAGAAAAAAAAACATCAACATTAGTTGACATGATAAAAGAATTGAAAAAAAAATTAAAAATAAAGAAAGTACATCAACATTAATGTACATAATGTAAGAGAAAGGAATTGAACTACAACCTCGTTCGAACACATACAAATGTCTTAGTTGTGTTTATCTTATATATATACTATATAGAGATGTTAGAAAGAATAAAAGAAATATATAAAAAAAACTTTTCGATTACTACACTATCATTATTAACTGTTACTGTAATCATTAACTGCAATATTGAAAACTTAAAACCTCTTCGTTTTTCACCTTAGCATTATTATTTAACACTTAATTAATATTTTTATTTTCAATGTTATTTATAGATTTTTTATAGACTAAATATGTTTTCATTGTTTATTTTATTATAAAATATATTTAAATTTATATATAATATATATAGAAATTTATTTTTTTATTTATGTATATGAAGTATATTATAATTTAATTATTTCAAACATATATGTCGGTAAAATAAAAAATAATTATAAGTAGTAATATTTGAGACAAAAATATTTATATTTTTATTCATTTAATATATTATAAAAAAATTATTATCTAATTTAATAAAAAATTATATTACATTAATATACAATTTTTGTATGTTAAATTAATTGTATTAATATTTTGAGTATGTTGTATATATATATAATTAAATTCACCTTTTATATGTCTATTGTATTAAATTTAAATTTTAAAATAATTTAAAATTAAAATATCATATTTATAGTTTACTAATATTTTTGAATCTATGAAAAATATTTTTTATATATTTTTAATTATATAAGATAATATAAGATAAAATAAGATATACACAAATATTATTTAATATTTAAGAAATAAATAATTATAGATATTATGTATTAATCTATATTTACGCAGTAGCCAATCAAATATTAAGATCAATAAAAATAAAAAAAAAAGTAAAAAAATATTAGAAATTTTTGCTTTTCAAAAAAATAAATAAATATAAAAATATGTTGGTCACACATAATATCTAGCAATCAATCAAACATTCTAATCAATCAAAAAAAAAAGAAAAAAATTTAAAATAGCTAAAAATTCATGCTTTTTGGAAGATAGAATCTACAGTGACTTCAAATATATATATATATATATATAGAGAGAGAGAGAGAGAGAGGATAAAAAGGAGAGAGTATATTTTACTTCAACAACTAATTAATAAATTGGAATTAGTTATATACCAAAACCATTGACGTCCGTCAAGGGAAAAAACACTATCCGATCACATGACGATGTGATGGTTCGTGTCGCATTCGCCAAAATTGTCCAGAGTCACGTGACGTCGCACGTGGCGTCGTTTCATATGCAGAAACTGTTTAACGGCAGCCGGCAGCCGGCGCGCCAGACACGTGGCACAATCCTGAGACTCGACAGGGAAACGACAAACTCTGCCGCAGACACGCGCCTGCCGTCAGTTCACGCGCCGTCTGCATGCATCGATCATTGCGCTGTTCGCGCTGTAAAGGCGAGCGAGGTGGGGCAACCAAGCGCATGCGACCATGACCTTGTACTGTGAATTACTACTGCAATGGATGCCTTTTCAGGGTTAATCATGTGCGAGACATTTTTTTCCAATACGCCGTCGTTTTAGGTCTAGGGCTTGTGTGAAATCGGTGATTAGGGCACAGTCAAAACTCATCCCCCAAGTTACTGCAATGGCTTTTAGGGTTTAGATGTTAAAATTTGGTAGTTAGGGCACCGTCAAAAGTGATTGCCAGTACAATGTGGGGATTGGGGAAAGGAAATTGCGGTCAAATTGGGGTGTCGTTGTGATAACTGAGGAGCTTTTTGAGAGATATAACTTTGCTTTTGGAAAGCAGACAAGCACTGGTCCTTGCTGCTTCTTCTGCTTCCTCCATACTTGTGTTTGCTCCATGTTCGTCCCCTTTATCTCTTCCTTCAAGCCCAGTGTTCGTTAAGGAATATGAATATCCGCTGTTCAATCTTCTTGTACTGAGTCGTGATATTCCTCTGTAAGTCGCCTATCAATTCTGCATTCATCCACTTGTAAGTCAAGTTTGAGCAAATTTCCCGAAACTTCAATTTTCTTTTTCTCATAACTGAAAACCATTGTGATGATGACAATTTGTGTTATTTGCGTTGAACTGTTAACCTGTGATAACCTGTGAATAAATCTTGTGGTTGTAAGGATAGGTTTTGGAGTAGAAATCACAAATTAGACTCATGAGTTGTTTATCAAATCAGTTCTTGTTCAATTGTTCATTTCATTGTAGAATGTGGTTTGCTGAGGCTACAGTTTCTTTCAATCTAATCTGTGCATTATATTTGGGTCAATTCCATGACCTGTTTGTTGGCATGGAGAAAAACTTGTGATGAAGAAGCTGTCCTTTTTTTTACTTTTGCATTTTTTATTTTTTTATTTTTTGTTGTGGTGGGGTTGAAGGGTGGGGAGTGGGGGGGTGTATGATGTAATGCTCTTCCCCACACGCCATTATACGCTGTCTTCTATAATCTCAGAGAAAACCAATTTCGATATTTTCATATATTTTTGTGTGAAGATATTTCCATTTTAGGCTTCATATCATTTAACTCAGCGCGGAAGGATTGGTATTATAACTTAGATCCTTGTGTTTTCATTACCATCTGGCTGAGTTTGGTCAATAATACTTCACTTTGCATTGATATCGATTCAATTATAATCGTCTGCCCTTCAGCTGAGCTCATTATGTTTATGTTAACAGAGGATAAAAATTGAGCAGATGACGCGAATTAGCCCAGAATATGGAGATGTGGCACAGCCCGCATGGGTGTTGTCATCTGATGTGAGCTTTCCCTCTAACCAGTTTCCCAAGTATAGATTGGGACCTGATAATCAAATTTGGGACGAGATCATAGAGGACAGCAAGGGTCCTCCCCTGAAGGAGGTTGTTGTGGAGGAAATAAACCATCTTTCCGAACAACACAAGCGCCTATCAGTTCGTGACCTTGCTAGTAAATTTGACAAGAATTTGGCTGCTGCAGCGAAGTTATCTGAGGAGGTTCGACTCTATGATTCGCCTAGAAAACTCACATCTATTCTGTTTAGGTCTAAATAATTTCATATGTTGGCAAAATGTGAAAAGTGCTATTTGTATGTAATCCAGGCTAAGTTAAGAGAAGTGGCTTCTTTAGACGGACACGTGCTTCTGAAAAAGCTTAGAGATGCATTGGAATGTCTGAAAGGAAGATTGTCGGGTCGAAACAAGGAAGATGTGGAGAAAGCTATCTCAATGGTCTGTTTACCCTTGTTACTGTAGAAATTTCTATCGAATGAAATGCGGTGGTCCTGATGCTTTAACGTCGATCATTTAGTCCTTTTTGGTTTGTTCTATCTGGTGTTAATAAACGATGTCCATAGGATAGTAACATATTGGTTAAAGCCATTCTTTTTCTCGTTCATGTTAAGCAATTAGGATTCTTATTGTTTCAATCTTGCAGTCTTTCCAATTTTATTTTATGCACCACGGAAATTTACTGTATGAGGTTTATACATGCTGGCGTCTATCGTCTCCAGGTAGAGGCTCTGGCCGTAAAATTAACTCAGAAGGAAGGAGAGTTAATTCAGGAGAAGTTTGAAGTGAAAAAGCTAGTGAATTTTCTCAAGCAGGTCTGCAGTTTTTATTATACACCAAATGTTCCTATCTCTTTTTTTTTCCCTTTTAATGTGTGTGGCTGTAAGAAAAGCTGCATTGACTCTGCTTTTCTATCGACTTGAAATGTTTCTGGTGATTTTAACTGATCCCTGAGACATACCTTGCAAAATTGATACACTAAATTTGATTTTCTACCGTAGGCTTCTGAAGATGCTAAAAAACTGGTCAACCAAGAGAAGTCGTTTGCTTGTGCTGAAATAGAGAGCGCGAGAGCAGTTGTGCAGAGGATTGGAGAAGCTCTCGACGAACAAGAAAGAAACAACAGCTCAGCGAAGCAGCAGGTAATCCTTCACTTTTCCCGTAGCTTTCTCTTCTTCTTAAAATAGTCAATAACTCACTGATTCTTACAATAGTTGACCTTGTTTTATGTTTCCGTACACTGATTTTTTTCTTGCTGATAGGAACTTGAGGAATTAATTGAAGAGGTCCAAGAGGCAAGAAGAATAAGATTGAAGCATGATCCCACAAAGGTATGTCAATCCTCATTCGAAGCTTATGCAATACTATGTAATTCTCTCGATTTTCCTTGTTCTATTTATTGTTAATTCCATCACTTCCTACTATATGTTTTTGTAGGTCATGGACATGGAGCACGAACTTCGGGAACTTAGGCTTCAGATTAGGGAGAAATGCACGATTTCGATTAATCTGCAGCACGAGGTTCGCCATATTTTTCTAATAAAAACTGCACAAATTGTATGCATTCGAAAACTTTATGTAAGCGAATATAATCAAAGCTTAATATTCTAGCTGGCAATGAGCAAAAAAGCAGAGGAAAATGCGCACTGTGTATATGCGCTGAATGGTTCCGAGACGTTAGGTTTGAGTTTGAGAATCCAACCCTGCTCGGAAGAAGCTGTAGAACTCGCCAAATGCTCGATCCAGTGGTACCGTTTGTTGTCTCAATGCAGCAGAAGGGAGCCTATCTTAGGTAACTCGCCAATTCCTTGTTTTCCTATTTTTACGCGACCACACGTTAGATATTATCATCTCAATTTATAACTGAGTTTATATGCTTCTGCCCATCAGGTGCTACCAAATCAGTTTACGCGCCTGAGCCAATTGATGTAGGACGAGTTCTTGAAGTCGATATAGTGGCAAATGGCCAAAAGTTCTCGCTTACTACTAATGGCCCAATTCAACAAGGTTCGATACCATTATTGCACATAGATTTAAGTTTAAATTTTTAGGTGAGACGGTTATCAGAGTTGAAATGTCCCATTACGTGCTAGATTTGTATGTAACGTATATCCACCTTGCATAGCGTGTTGGTCGACTATGTAATAAATAAATAAATAAATAATGTGTATCCCTTTAAGCGTAAATTTTTAGGCGAGATGATTATTTAACAGAGCTAATTTTATTTGTCGTAAAATTTTTTTTCCTTGCGCAGCTATTGACTTGGACAGCTACTTAGAGAGCCTTTTTCGGAAACCCAACCATGACTTCAGCGTAAATAACCCCGTCTTTTCCGTGGCATTATTTTGTTGTTCTGAGAAATAGATTGTTGCGTTATCCAAATCTGTTTCGCCTCGACAGGTAGTTATCTCCCAAATGAATGGTAGAAACTATTCGTCACATTCGACACACGTGTTTCATATTGGTAAATCGAGGATTAAACTTAGCAGGGGATGGATCACGAAGGCCAGAGAATCTTACTCCCGTTCTATGCAGGTATAAACTTAATACAGCTTTGATTAACGTCGAGAACTTTTTTAACTCCTCGATAATTGAAGGCAATGCATCGGAAATGAAATGATGTTCGTTTCTTGTATTATATTCGGTTTTCAGCTGTTTGGATTTAGAGGAGGCGGCAACTCTGCAGGTAAATCGCTTGTTTGGCTAGCCCGAAAAGGACAGTCTTTCGTGCTGGTGTTTGAATCTGAGCGAGAAAGAAACAGTGCCCTTCTTCTTGCTCGGAAATATGCTTCGGACTGCAATGTACGTCGTCACACATCCTGATATACATACATACATATAACATATATATATATATACACACAAGTGTAAAGCAGAGGGAGGGGAGGTAACGAGGGTGGAACTTCCATGTCAGGTCTTGCTTGCTGGTCCAGATGACGATGCGTTGCTGTAGCTGTAAAGACCGAACGGATTTCGACTAACTTGAGCTCTGAGGCATTATGAGGTGAGTGATGTTTGGGTGCTTCATTTGTGTGTGTCTTAATTTGAGCTTTGGTAGGCATCGTTTTTAGTTTGCCTTCATCTTGATCTGTTGTAATAACCTTATCTTATCTTACCTTACCCTAACTTCTGCTAATCTCATTCCATTCTATGCTGCTGATTTGATTTGATTTGATTTCTTTTGTTGTTGTTCGTTTATTTTCAAGTTTGATAATTTAAACGATTTCAACAAATCTAACGTTTCCTATTAGTATTTGTTTGTAATTTTGCTCATTTACATTTCAAATTAGAGTACTACCTTTGTCCCTTAATAAGGCCAGGGTGTGTTTGTTTTGTTTTTTGTTTTTTGTTTGAAAGAATTTTTCTTTTTTATTTATTTATTTATTATGTAAGGTATAAGAAATTGTGTAGAATATTAATTTTTTTCTTTGGAGAAAATATGTTTTGGGAAATTTTTGGGTAAAAGAACAAAGCTGCAGCGTTTTTGTTTATTTTATTAATTTTTTTTAATATTTTAATATTATATATACAAAAAGAGTTAAAATGATATTTATATTCCTATCAATGTGTACTAGTTTTGTAATTTTGTTAAACAAAAGTATTTATTTGTGAATATAATATATTGTAAGTTAGTAATATTATTAATGTTAAAAAGATATTCTTAAACATATACATGAGAAGCAGTACGGTTGACTACCTGTTTTTACTAAATTATTTTTAATAGTCTAACATTATATATTTACATCCGTCGTACATAGGGGTAATATTGTGGGCAAGTATGACTACTTTCGTCAGTTGTCAGTTATACTGAAGATATTGAGTGTTGTTCAGGGTTGTATTTTTTCATTTCAATTTGCTATTTTGTTGTGATTTACTTGTACTATGGATATCGTTTGTTAAATCGTAACTTTTACTTTAATACAATAACTTACTTATAACATTGTAATTAGAGTTGTTAAACGAACCGAGCCGTTCGTGAACTCGGGTCGGTTTGGCTCGGTTAAAGCTTGTTTGCGAACGTTAACGAGCCGAGCCGAGCCGAACAACATAAACAGACTCGTTTGGTTAACGAACGAGCCCGAGCTTTGTTCACGAACGTTCGTTTAAATAATATATTTATTATAAATATTATATATACATATAAAATTATACTTTATAAATAAATAAAATATTAATTTAAAATATATAAATAAAATAATTTCAAATTTTATTTATAATTTATATATAAATTTTAAAAAAATAAGACAAACGAGCTCGAACGAGCTTAATCTAGCCTAAACGTGTTGAATATGAACACGAGCTCAAACAACAAAAATTCTTAACGAGCCGAGCTCGAACACTATGAACGAGCTCGAAAGCTTAACGAACAAACACGAACCTTGTTCGCGAACGTTAACGAACACTTAAAACTTAGCTCGGCTTGGATCGTTAACAACTCTAATTGTAATACTATGATTTCTTTAAAATGACATTTTATAGTAAAAAGGGGTTTTCGAGTTTGTTGGGCACGCAAAACAAAAACAATTCAAGTTCGACTAGATGGTGGATTAATCAATATATGATTTTTCGAAGTCATTACTTAATACTGCAGAGTTAAAAGAAAAATAAGAGGTTTTTATAATTCATATATTTTTTTTCGCTTATCTTTCCGTATGAGCCGACTACACGGTTTTATTCAATGTCATCCGACCTTATCGGTCAAGCTGTATGGAAGACTACATGTTTTTAGTAAATTGCTTTTAATAGTGTAACATTTTATATTTACAACAGTTGTACTTAGCGGTAATATTGTAGCCAAGTATGACTACTTTTGTCAATCCGCACCCGCGTTGTCAGTTATACTGAAGATATTGAGTGTTGTTAGATCGTAAATTTTACTTTAATACAATAATATACTTATAATATTGTGATACTATGATTTATTTAAAATGCATTTTATAGTAATCAGGGGTTTGGGACTTTGTTGGGTACGCAAAACAAAAAAAAAACCAAGTCCGACCTCCCCAACTTTGCACTGACCGGACGGTTGTCCTTCTTATTATCCGACCTAACCCACCACTTTTCCTCCTCTTTCCATTTCCACCAAACGGACGGTCCTCCGATCAGACCAATTCTTTGAGACACATTTTTTTGAAAACTTTTCTGTCTTCCCTATTTTCTCATATTCTCTATCTTATAAGCGTTTATTTATTTAAATTATTATATTAGTTTCTCCCCTCTCTGTATCCGAACCGACTGGATGTTTCTACTTATTCTCATCCGTCGAAATTAGTCAGATTCTCTCTTCTTTCCATTTCAACCGAATGAATGTATTATTCTCTCTCTCTAGCCTAACCCACCACCCCCACCGGCTAATATTTCGCCATCTCTTGTTTTTTCTCCACCGCTTCCACTGTTATACATAAATTTTTTTTTTCTCTTTACCCCTTTTCTTTCAATCCGACCAAATCAATTGACGGCTATCTTCTGTTTTAAAAAAAAATAGCTACATTTATATTATTTTGATTTGTAGATAATATTTTTAAAATAATACATAAAAAAAGTAATCAAAGAAAGGTATAATTTCAAAACCCTTTGTGAATTTTTATTTTTTACCTATTTACGATTACAATATAAATGGATCTTTCGTTACAAACAATCGCCACGTGGCCCATATTCATTGTTCCTCCGTACACTGATACCCTTATATTATTTTACCTTAACAATATGGATATATAAATGTATGTCATTCCTGTCATACCCTACTTTGCATTTAATGCATTTATTTGCGCTATTAGTAACCTTATTTTATTAAATCTCACCAAATCTTCTACAACATTTACCTATGAAAGTTATAATTACCTATTACCTAACTGCAACTATAAGAATTAGACTTTAAAGTTCTCTATCGTTGTAGTACTTTGTACAATTCTTATCCTACCTAATCCTTACATTACGCGTCCTTGTTGGACACAACTAACACGTTACTTATCACCTCAATTTTTAAAAATTACAGCGAACAATCCAATGTACGAATCTCTGTAAAAATTATTTAATATAAACATACCGAAGTTTCAATTACAATCCATTCTTTCTTCATATTTATATTTCTTACAACAACCTCACACCGAAGCTTATATATCTCATTTATCTTTTACTCAAAACATCTTTCACCCGCATAACTTTGTTCTGAACGAGCAAACACCTCTTAAAAGATATATGGTTTCTCCATACAATTCGTTCAAGTATATACAATAATTGAATTTATAATAGAAAACGCATAATTAATTTACTAAATGATGTTTTAATTATTACCACAACTATCTTTGCCCAAATATTTGTCTCATTCTTCTTACAAGTAAGTTGGATAGATTACAGTGTACAGTTACCCGGCAGGAAAGATACAACCTACTATAAACATGAATTATAGGTTACAATTTATTACTCATTAGTCAACAACTTGTATTCCTGCATTCATATGATTATGCTATTAAAGAGCATTGAAACCTCTTTAATTCGACGTGCATGCAAATAATATAACTACATACACAACATGAGAACAAAACATAAATACTACAATTTCTAATCTGCACTCCATCGTTACAAAAGACTGCAATACATAAACCAGAGATATGCCTACGATTTACAAACATATAACAAACAGAATATCCATACCTGTAACTATTTTCCAGTTTACAAAAGCCAACCTCCAAGAAAATACATCATAGGAGGCTGTGAAATTCCCGATATCAAATAGGTAAGTCTAATACCCAATAGAAGACTCGCAAAGGCGTCAGTAGCTGCATACTCAATTTTTTTCTCTGTCAAAAGTTCGGAATCCTAGTTGCTTATGGTTTACATGTAGTGACTTTAGTAGCTCTTTTCCCAAAACAGCTAATACCATTGTCTTCAGTCCCCTGTAAACATGTGCAGCTAGATCAACATTTAAACAAGCTCTTTTGTGGAGCGTGTTAACATCTTCAAAACTACGAACAAGAAGACCGTAATGCCTATGCAGCTTTACAACGTCTGCTTCTTTACCAACACCACAAAACAGAAAACTAGGATCGGCCAGAAATCTGCCTTTAAAATTTGAAAAACAAGACAATACGAAGAAAGACAAAGTTGGATGGTAGCGACAGAATTGTCCTCCCCAGAGCGAACGTTAGGCCGCCATTCCATATCAAAACCGACAACATTAGGACCATACGAAGAACATGACCAACAAAACCTACCCACTGATCAACTTCGATTGCTTTCTTAGTGACTGTTACTGCGAAAACGTCATTGTAAAAACAAATGTTACAGAAATAACTCGACATATTCACTAAGTTCATAGTGGCCATTAAAGATCGGTATTGTTTAAATAACGCAACTTCACTATATAGAAGAGCAAGGAATTCTCTAAAGACAATTAACGGACAAACTTTCACCTCCTTTAATCGATTAACAGAAAATCTCTGCGAACCTTTTCACTACGATGACTCATTATATAGAGCAAACAAGTTGAATTTTTTTGCAAAAAATATTTACTATACTAAGTTGTTTACAAATATTAATGCCATGTAAATTCTAATACACAAATCCTGCAGATTTTTTTGGAAAAACAGTTCCAATCAAACCACTTGCTACCTTTAATACTCAACTATTTCTCTGTCTAGCAACTTGTAGTTAACCCTTCCAAGAAAAAATAAACAAAAGTCTAATAAACTTTTCCTCCATTTTTCACAACAACAGTGCTTAACCTTAATCCAATTTTCCATCCAACATTATTATTTTTCGGACCATTTCTTGGGAATAATATACGATTTAAAGAAACCCAAAAAATAAAAAAGAAATAATTATTGTTAAAACTAAGAGACTAAAATTTTTCATTGATTGGTTGCACAACAATAAATTCTTTGTAATATAATTCATTCAATTTCTTCCACTGCTCGTTCTATCCGACCTACTGGGTCGGTCATTTCTTTTTTCCCAATTTTCCTCTTCTCACTAATGTATTTCTTTCTCTCATAATACAAATTGAGTAAATGTCAAATCACTGAAATAATTTCTATTTTTTTGTGGTAATATTTAAAACAAAATTTTGTCAAATCACTCGCTACCTTAATTTTCCACTTTCCACTTGTACATTATATACACTAGAGAAAATTACCAAGGATTCTCATTTATGAAACTTTGATCCCCAGATAAAGA